GCACGCCCGTATTCAGTTAAAAGATGGTATTCGGAGGTTTGCATACATTGTACATTTTTCCAGATTGTTCTTCAATAATTTCTTTACATTCCCAGAAAAAAATGGGTAAATCATGATGCAGTGACGCTGCGAGAAGCATGCAACATGCGGCCTGCGCATCACCACTGTGTTGCAGTGAGGAATTTCTTGTTTTCTGCAGGCACACATTTTGCCTGATCACGAGTTGGTTTTTTAAAAATAATTTTACTTGTCATGCTGGAAAAAGCAAGCCTTTTCCAGCTGCCACTCATTAGTATCGCTTTGGCACATTGCTTAGTGACTCTTGAGCGCCACCGCTTCTGGAGATTTGCGGTTAAATCAGGATTACGAATTGGCACACTGCACACAAAATTTTCAAATTAACCAGACTGGGGCTGATCACCACTTCAAATTATCCACTCAGACTTGCGTTGCAAAATACACGACCACGGAAATACTTTGAATTAAGCAGGATTTTGAAATACTAACCAAGCCTAAATTAATGAGGTTTTACTGTATTGTTTTATAGCTTTAGCATGACACCCATTGCTAGGATTTATAAAAAAATCAGCTTGAATTTCTACATAACCAGCTGCAAAATTTTTTAGCTGTTGATGGGATGATCATAGCGTTCCCTGCCACATACGCAATGCACACACAACTTAATGTAACTGGCAATCAAGAGACTTGCACATCTGCATATGTGACGTCCGTGGCCTACAGGCTTTGCTGAGGTACTAAAGATGTTGTTCCATGAATGTACCATCGCTCTCGACAGGCGTGAGCAATACAAGTGTGCTATTGTGTCAAAGTGACCTTTATGATCAACCTTTGGTTCGTGTTGAATTAGAATAGAATAGTTTATTTCGAACATAGTTACATACAACATGAAGTATGTCCACAAGGCAAGGCAAAAGGAGACTCGTAGGTCTCCTGACGAGGTCTTCATCTGGACTCACACGTCGGACAGCCAGGAGCAAAACCAGAGAAAATAAGTACAATGCTCCAGAAAAACAAGTACAGAGAAACCAGAAAAAAACAACAATTAAGCACAATGTTCGTGGCACAGCCTATATAAACAAAAATGAATGGTAGAAAACACATTAAGACAGAAATTATTCAAAGTGTACATTGTTTGCATTTAACAAATATACAATTATACAAAACTACATAATTTTCATGTTCATTGCAAAACAATTGTATATTTCAAAGAGGCAGGAACAGTTGCTTTACTTGTTTTTTAAAATGTGACATACTTTAGTTTTGATTGGCCAATTCGATTAAGGATGGGTATGCATTCAACAATGAGATAGTTTGAGAATATAATTTTTGTGCCGTACCTAATTAGTCCTTGGTCTTGATCCTGTTAATGAAATAGTGCAAAGATTATATGCAACTTCTCTGTTTAGGTGTTTTTTTGAGAACATGGTACGATTATGTTTGAATACGTGGAAAATCATTGTTGCCGAAGAAAATCGGTATAACTTTGAAAATGGTGGCACATTCAGAGTTTTATACAAAGAGTCAGTTGATGGGGGTGGATGGGATGAAATCAGTTTTAAGCTTCTTTTGTGTAAAGAGGAGACACCGTTGGCGTCAGTCTTGTTGCACGTACCGCAGACAAGGTGGCACTATGTTAGGTGGGAATGAATAAAAGCAAAATATAATTGTCTTCTAACGCGCAGCGGCAATAAATATTTTAGCTTGTATAACATACCAAAATATCTCGACAACTTAGCACGAATGTGATTTATGTGCTCAGACCAGCTGAGGTCAAACTAAAAAAGGACTCTCAAGAATTGGCAAGAGTTGACGGGCGTTATTATATTGTTGTTGATGCTCAATTACACGTCATGAAGGAGTGGTTTATTTTTTGAAGAAAATATTACGTACTGTGTTTCTTTACATTTAAGTTTATTTCGTTCACATTAATCCAGGTATGAAGTTCGTTTAGCCAGATATTGGCAGGCTACTCTAATGACTTCAGATCTGGACAGGAAAAAAAACTTTGGTGTCATCGGCGTACATAGCAATGGTGGGATTAAAAGGAATGTTAGCAATGTCATTTATGTATAAAAGAAAGAGCAAAGGACCCAAAATAGATCCCTGAGTGACCCCCAAATTTGTTACCCAAGTCTCATTTCGATTCGTGAAGCTGTGTATAGTGCATTCCACAATCGAGGTAGCTCTCTAATAATGTAATGGCCAGTCCGCGGATACCATATGTCCTTAGCTTTTGAAACAAGATTTCATGTTTGATTGAATCAAATGCTTTTCAAAAGTCAACGAAAATTCCCACTGTAAAATATCGCTGTTCGAAATTGCTGCGAATCTTTTCTTTTACATGGAGTAGAGCACATTCTACCGATTTTTCGGACTGAAAGCTGTGCTGATGTTTCGAGATATTTTTAATTTGAATAAAATCGTACAATCGTTTATAAATAATATGCTCTGTGATATTGAAAAAAGAGGTAGTATCAATATTGGTTGATAATTATTGAGGTTATTATTACTGCCACCTTTGTGAATAACAGTAACATGTGCTACCTTAATTTTTTCAGGGAAAATGCCAGTCTCTAACATTCTGTTGCAGATATAAGTTAGTGGACCGACCAGAAGTATAACAGATAGCAGCTTTAATCGGTGAAACGCGGATTTTATCGTTACCGTACGAGCACGTGTCTTTCCGTGCGAACACTGTAGATGCTATATTTTCATCCGAGGTAGGTGTTAAAAACAGAATTTTTGTAGGCTGCAGGAATGCAGGAAATAGCATATTTCAAAGAGGATTCTATCTTGGGGTCGAGAAAAGCACCGGATATAAAAAAATGCATGTTAAACTGATTTGCAAGCGTCACGCCAGAGATGGCTGTTTTATTAATTTTTAGTTCGGGAGGTATACATGTTCATTCAACTCCTATAACTTTGTTCACAGCACCTCATAGTGGTTTAGGGTTATTAATTAGCAGCAAAATCATGTTTTGATAATATGGATGTTTCGCCGTTTAAGTCCAAGCTTACCGTATTTACTCGATTCTACCGCGCCCTCGATTGTAACGTGCACCCGGTTTCCACGACGAAAAGAAAAAGAAAGTAAGACATCGATTGCGACGCGCACCCATTTTTCTCGTTGGCCCGCATGATCACAACACTCGAAAAAACGACTCCTTTCGGGTGCGTCTTTCATTTAAATATGAGGTATGGGGGAAGCTTGTGCCCATCTGACGTGTAACAGAGCATTGCCGTCACTGTAGTTTTACCGTGGACCGATGTCAGCACGCGAACTTGCTTCGCCCCCTTCTTCTCGGCGGTTGTGGTGCCAGGCATGTCGAAGAGGCGTCTGATCGGCATTCTTGATTTGCCCAAGCAGGTAGTCGTTGTTGTGCCGCAAGTTTAGGACGAACCTCTGAAAACTATGAAGCTTTTCTTCGTACTCCTCTCGAAACTTTTCGCATATGCCCGTTCGCCTTCGGAGGGAAAAGCTTTTCCTCTTCATAAAGTTAGTTAGCCAGCACCTGCTTGCTTTAAACTGGCTCCGCATTAGCCCTTTTTTCTATTCTAAGGCTAACTGCATAGCACGCACTTGGAGCAGTTCTGTCGTCACGGGCCGCTGTGCCGCTCGCTGCTCAAGCACATACTCGCCGAGCAGCTCTTCAATTTGCTGAAACCGACCCTGCTGTGGTCCACTGAAGTCTTTGCGTGAAGCTTTGCTGTCGACAATCTTCTGCTTTTTGTTTCCGCCAGTCCCGCATGCACGTTTCGGGAACTCTGCACGATCGCGATGTGGCCCGATTTCCGTCCATTTCTGCACACGCGATGACTTTTCTTTTAAAAGCAGCATTGTGGTGCATCGTGGTGCAGTTTTTGGAGTCGGCCCTTCCATGCCGTCGATGCTAATGCACTACAAGATGACGAACTCCTCAGCACACGTACGGAGTGCGGCACATGGGAAACACATACGCAGAAACGGCCGACGCGCCATGCTGACGCACGGGCGGCACGTAGGGAGCGGCCATTTTGGAAATGCCGATAGCAATAGAATGACCGTATTCATTTTTTTTTCGTACTCGATTCTAACGCGCATGCGATTTATGAACTAGCTTAACAGGAAAAAAGGTGCGTGTTAGATTTGAGTAATTACGGTAATTTATTCTTATACTTTTTCAACGTGAATAAATCTTCTGATTTTTTGTTTTCAGGAAACGAGCAAACATGAAGTCTCTTTCTTTAATGCGGTTGAATAATGACGGTGTTATCCACTGTTTTCTAGCTTTTCTGTGCCTCTTAATCATAACACGTGGAAAAACATGATTATAGTTCTCACTGATTTTTTCGAATAAATATATCGTAGGCCTTTGATGGATCAGGTTCATGGTACAGTTCATCCTAGCTAGTTTCACTCATTAAAGAACAGAACTTTGTAACGCTAGCGGTGTTTATTATTCTATGCGTATAAATACTTCTTGATAATAGTTTTTTCAAGGTGAATAGAACAAAAAATGGCAAATGGTCACTCATTCCCTACGAAAACACACCAGACACAAATGTTTTCCAGAAGGGAACTTGTAAAGCAGACATCGAGCAATGTGGCAGATTGTTTAGTGACCCTTGTGGGTTGATCAAAGACATTTCCACACACATAAGGCGACATTAACTCAATAATATTTGTACTAACATTGCTATTTACAAGTAAATTTATATTCATATCGCCAAGTTTTGTTGCATTGAATTTGTTGAAAGAAGCGAATTCTGAAAAAAACTCAACAAAATCAAGAAATGTTTCTACCCTACTTGGAGGACGACGATATAATAAAAGAACAGTGACCTTGTTAGTAACAACACGAATTGCTTCATAGGCATCATTGATAGCAAATTAACAAAGAAGAAATAAAAGAAAGCAATAAAGAAATGCTGTAGGTGCAAATGTGATCGTCAGTGTGTTATGTAGCCTGTTATGGAGCCTTGCAGTAATAATGGTGCAGGACTGGAGAAACAGAGTGACCTTGCCACTGCCCGTGCCACCAGGGGTGCCTGTCCTGATATGTGCCCCGAGAAGGAACGCTACTCTCGCACCGACAAGAAGTGCCTCAGCTCTTTCGAGATGCTGGTAAGAGCCCAAGCTGCAGTGCAAACCTGGCTATGTTTTCTGCAAAATAATGCAGTAAATCTTGTCGAGAATACCACCTGAAGGCAGTCTCTTTCCATGCTGTACTGTTGGATGAGCTACTCATTTTCTGCTATTCTTCCAAACCCTCTAGCTGGTTTGGCACCGAATTCGAAATTATTTCTGAAATTTCTTAAACATATGCCTTGCCTGTGCTTTTTTTCAGATTAACTACAGTTAAGCATAGGTATAATGAAATTGACAAATTCTCAAAGAAATTCATTAGAAACAGGTTTTCGTTATATGCCGTTTCAGTACGAAAATTCTACAAGGAGCTTACCCATAACACTTATTTAGCGCTAAGAAACTGCTTTGTTATTTCGACAGCAATTACATTATAGACTGTTTATAATGTAAGTGGTGGGAATCGCGAATATACGCACTGTAAGTGGTACCACACTCTATACTCGGCGACAGCTTTTCTTGACATTGGAGCGAAGGCTATGGAGGCGGGGCCTCCGCACATTTGTGTTACTACGCAAGTAGTCTGGCAGCTTGCAGCCGATTTCGGTTCCAGTTTCGGTTTTTGCTTGCTCGCTGCGCTAGTGTGTTTATTATAGCAAAATGTATGCATGCAAAATGGGAACGTCAGAGTTAAACTTTGATGAGAGTGCATACATGCAGCTAGTTACTGTGCTGTTTATATACTGGTACATATAAAATTTTCCGTTGTTCAGAACGTTTTCCCAGCATTATTCAGCCTTTATAACAGAGAAGTTTAGGTTCCGTGTTCAGCCCAGTATATACGGGTACGCGCCACACGTGATCGAATGTTAACGTTTACGGTATTGAGCCCTGGTACAGGCGAAATGGAAGACCGGTTGCGGCACGATCCGGCCACGGGCCTGTCTTGTTTCAGTTTTGCTATATTCGGTTTACGCCCTCAAAGGCTGTCAGCAATGATTGGCGTAGACTGCGCCTCAGGGTTCGAGAAGCCTCACAATTGTTGTAGATCGTTGTTAAGATTGCGCGCAAGACGCGAACAGTGAAGCTTATTTCAGAGCTTGCGCGGCCACCAGTGATAAGGCTGGAAAGTTCGATGCGTGATGTATAAAAGACGGCGCGTCCCAACGATGAGCAGTTTTTCCACGGCCGATGCTGTGCTCGCCGCTGCAAGAGCGAGCAGCAGACGCAGCCGGCGTGCAAAAAACGTGGTGCCGTCCAAGAAATAAAAAAGAAAAAAAACTAGGGCGCACGATAACTTCTTTTCCAAGAACAGCATTCCATACTTGTTCTATTCTTATAATGAAGAAAGTTTTACTTATTTGAGCCAAGTAGCTATTAGAATCAGAAAATAAAATAGGTACTATTTCCTGGCGCGCGCGCATGCAGGTGGTTCGGCTCTATAGCTTCCACAGTGCTGTCAAGAAAAGCTGTCGCCGAGTATTACCGAAACAACTTTTTTTTAGGGCTGCAGCTGTGCTAAACATGTTGAGCATGCAGCCTCGCATGTCCATGAATTGAAGCATGCGATGCGGGGTGCATACCTGCCAAGTCTCCCGGATTGGCCGGGAGGCTCCCGAATTTTCACCGTTTTTTCCGGTTGTACGGTTGTCATGAAAATCTCCCGGAAATCGAAATTTCTTTGCATCTTCTGGCTGCATTGACAAAAAAGCAGCTCAATCCGCTCTAGGATTCTCGGACCTACCCCATTTTATTATAAATGAGTATAAGAGGCGTTCGTGTAAACGTACAGTATAATCTCATTGATAGGAAACCGCAGCAGACACGAACTCTTGAAATTCACCAGCCAAATTTTACTATGTTCATTGGGCCTCAATTCGAATGCTCTGAACATATTTCCTAATCGCGGCGGGTGATACGAAATTTAGTACGCAAACTGCAGTACCAAGGCCGAGAGCAGCTTACTCGAAGCTTCGAAAGTATGCGTGCGACCGGCGCGCGCACCGTCTTCTACAGTGCGTGTGATTATCGTTGCCACAACCGCTGTGGACAAAACTGCGGTCGCCCTTGACACGATCATGTATGGCGACGACGTAACTGAGAGAACTCCGAAAATGTGCGCTCAACCAGTCAAAGCAACGTTTCTTTCCGCAAACTCGGCAGGCAAAGCTGCGACAGATGCTATCGTAGATGGCATAAAATGATTAAGTTTTGAAGGCGCGTGCTCAGTTAAGCGCGCGGGGATTTTAAAATGAACTACCGTTTTCCGCGACCGTTGCGCGCAAAACGGCGGTCGCGGCGACGTGATAGCGATCTACGAGTTCCGATGACTTGCAACGATAGGTTAGATGCAGTAAATACGTAAAAATTAAAAAAAATAAACAGCTACAGTTTTGCCGCAAGGGTGAAGCAATAAATGCGACAGCAACAACTTGGAGTGTAACGCTGAGAACGGCAAGCAAATCGAAACGTGCAGCACGCTGCTCACACACAAATGACGCACGAAAATGATACTCGCAGGACGAGAGCGAACTAACAACGTTTACGGCTCGACACGTAATGCGCTGTTTAAACAAAACAATGCACGATACGTAATCAAAGGTACGGATGAGTACAAACTAACAAGTGTCCCAGTTGCCCCGCCGCGGTGGTCTAGTGGTTAAGGTACTCGGCTGCTGACCCGCAGGGCGCGGGTTCGAATCCCGGCTGCGGCGGCTGCATTTCCGATGGAGGCGGAAATGTTGTAGGCCCGTGTGCTCAGATTTGGGTGCACGTTAAAGAACCCCAGGTGGTCTAAATTTCCGGAGCCCTCCACTACGGCGTCTCTCATAATCATATAGTGGTTTTGGGACGTTAAACCCCACATATCAAGTGTCCCAGTTGTTACAGCTCGCTGTGTATGAAAAGCGTGCTGTTTTTGCAAAAGGGGCTGGTGCAGAGACCAAAGTGACCTTTGTGGGCCTGGCAACTAACTCTTTGGTTTCGGTGAATGTCGAAGGCACTCGATTCCTCCACCAAAAGATAAGCGCGCGTGCACAGGCATTCATCCATGAGGCAAAGTACACAATGAGAGATAAGCATGCGTTGGCGTCAAGCGCCGGTGGCTTTTTTTCTTTGAGTGAGTGTTCATATATATATATTGCCACGCTGTGTTGGTGGCAGAAGACGAGAGCGAAGAAGTGAATTGCAGCTGTGGCTGAGTAAACAGTCCTCCACTTCGAGTTCCTGCCTATCATTTCCTCTCGCGACAGACTGGTGGACGTGCTGGGTACTGTACTGCGTCTTATGCCTGCTGGTCCTGAACCATGTAGGGGTGCTGACACCCCCCCTGTAAAGTTGTCTGCGCCGCGTGGCGCACGTGTCTCGCCTTAAGGTTTTATTTCGGTGGTGACCACCGCCGGGCGATAGATGGCATTGTGTTCGCTTTGAGTATCACTGTTGGTAGAGTGGTAGCGTGCGGTGGCCCCTGGCAGAAGGCAGGCCTTAGTGGTGGGCGAGAGTTGAGCGAGCCTCTTCTGCGCGTGGCGGCTGCCGCGAACGGTTGTCTGTAGCGTGGGTCCCCGGTGCTCGGCACCGCGGGCTTTGCGCCAGGGTCCCACGTGGAATGTCAGGCGTTGGCGACACCGCCTTGGGTATGTGTTAGTGTGTTGGGTGTGTTAGTGTGTGTTTATCATGTTATTGTGTGTTTAGTGTGTCACTGCGTTTTGTTGTTTGTATGGTAGCGTGTTAATTGAAATTGGTGTATCATTCGGCGGACGATATCGTCGTCTAAATTAGTTAATAAATGTATGTATGTTGTGTGCTTTGTACCGACCGCATCTGGTGTGTCCGTTCTCTCCAAGAGCGTGGCGAGGCGCTCGTTCGCCTCGCCGAGACCCCACAACCAGAAGCAACCACCACCAGTGCACCAGGGTCTGCTGATATCTATCGAAGCAGCCGCCGCCTTCAAGGACTACCACCCCAGTACGGCCCCTAGGCAAGTTCCGTGAGGACAATGTTTGCCACATCCGCAACCCAAACCGAGCATGACCCACTCGCTAGCGTACCCTGTGTCATCAACAGGCCTCGCACGCCTAACCCATTCCATGGTGATGCCGGTGAGGATGTCGAAGACTGGCTTGATCATTTCGACCGGGTCGCTGCCATCAACGATCGGGACAATCGCCGTAAGTTGAAGAACGTGTATATCTCCCTCTTAGACGGGGCAAGAGTGTGGTATCAGAACCACAAAACTTCATTCACAAGTTGGCAGGAATTCCATCGGCAGCTTCGCGAGGCGTTCAGTAACCCCGAACGAAAAGAGAGAGCGGAGCAGACACTTTCTTTGCGATTTCAAATGCCGAACGAGAGCGTTGCCATGTTTGTCGAAGAAATGTCGCGATTGTATGACGGGCTGACCCCCACATGCCAGAAGACAAGAAAGTGCGCCTGCTAATGCGAGGCGTAAAGGAGCAACTTTTCGCGGGCCTTGTGCGCAACCCTTCTACGACTGTGTCCGAGTTCATACGTGAGGCGCATGCTTCGGCAGCGGGTGTCGCAGTATGAGCGTCAGACGGCCATGCCCGCTGCGTGCTCGCTTGTACCAGGAGGTGATAACAGTGAGGTCCTCACAGAACTCATACGGCAAGTTGTACACGAAGAACTTCGGAAATTTCATGCAGCATTCCCTCCCAGTAGCACTGCTCTTACGGACGTCGTTCGTAACGAAATTAGGCAGTTCGTTTACTCCTCACCATCATCGCAAGTTGAACCGTCCACGCTTTCCTACGCGGATGCCCTACGCGTCTCTACGCCGTCGACGGCACATTTTGCTCATCCACCTACTGGGACCCTCAGACGCTTTCCAAGTCCAGCCCATCGCCTGCCTTCTCAGGCCGATTTTCGTCCTGGCCCGCGGAAGTCTACCGTCTGCCGTGCACCCGACAATCGTCCTTTGTGCTATCATTGTGGAGAAGTTGGACACATGTACCGCGACTGTTACTACCGACGAATAGGCCTACGCGAATTCCACCCAGATGCACGTTGTTCACGCTATGGTG